AATTTACTGCGCATTGTGTTTACTTTCTTGGTTTCTCCAAAATTTTGACTTTTCGTAGGTACGTGTTAGATCGTGTTACACGTAAGTGTCAATGGGTTAAACTCGATCTTGCTATAAATTTCCGCGTTTTGAGAAAAGAAAAATGGGTTTCGTGTGACAAATCGTGATTCATTGGAAGATAACATTGGTGAAGTTTACAACATGAGTCAGTGATTCGATGATGAAAATAAGTTACGAATGCAAGGTTTGCTTTAATGGAGATAGGATAATTTTTTGCACGTGCAATCTCTTACAGATGTTTTGATCTGACATGGATATTATTTAACACGCGGGATATTTCGCACACCAGAGTGCAATATGACACGACATAACACGGCTTTTGTTTTCACACCCTTTAACACGCTTCTTTGTTTAACTTGAACACGGTTCATTGTTTATAAGGAACAAAAGAAAATTTTAATCAGGAGTGCATTGTGACACGCTGCTACTGTGTTAACGAAAATTTCTTTTGTGTACCGTGCTAAAATAGTGTGCCCGTGTCATCACCATTATGCTAAAAATCCTGTGGAGGGTCACAATTGCGCAAAATATTTTTTTAAAAACTTAGCACTAATGCAACAAGTACCTTGTGAGATCATTGGTTCTATGGTAAATGTGTGTCCAGGCTTCATTACGCCAACAGCTTTGTTTTCTATAAAACAATTATCCATTGCAAATAGAACATTTTTGCACATGACTGGGTTTTACAAGAAAAAGAAGTAATAAGAAAATACTTGTGGGCACTGAAACATAACTATGAAGGTAAATACGTTTATGAACTACTTTGAAATTTAGGAAGCAAAAAGAGAACCACAGCCAAACAAAGTCAACTGTGGTTCATACTTACTTGCATAATGAGGGACATTTGGTGCAGTATGAAACAACCTGTGATGTGGACAATATGATTCCTTAGTTATGACTTCTTTGGGTTTGTACAAAGTAGTTATCATAACAATCCATTCACCCAATCTATGTCCACTTACTCATGAATTCCATGCCCACAGAAACTCTTCACAACAGCGTAGCCATGAGCTTGAGCATGCTTCTGTATGATGTTACCAATCTCTCTGTATTTCACACCAGGCTTCACTAAGAGTCAAACTTCATAAATTACAGCAGACTGAGGTAATTATGGTATTGATTGATCAGAATGCTCCTATGATCTCAAGGATGAGTTGGCAAAACCAACCAAATGCGAGTGGAAAACAAGAAATTATGTTCTGGGTTTCTATACACCCAACAATAATTATCTGTCTCCTCATGTGACAATTATATCTCTGAAAGGATTTCAAGGGAGACAAAGGGGGGAACGCCCACTGTTTTTTCCTCATAATTTCTTTTTTAATTTAATATCTTTTGAGTGGTTTAATTGATGTTGTTAGTATGGAGTGAAGTTACAATCTTACAACACAAGTTTGACCTGAACAGTTCTATGTGGTACCATCACAATATGTGACTTTATGGCAGAGCAATCAACATTGGAACCTTTACATTTTAATAGTACTTACTAACAATATCTAACACATTACCTGATGCTATAGCCTGACTTAAACACTCATGTGTAACCTTCACTAACTGTTTGCTGTCCTCAGACACTTCACCAACAAAGAATGTCTCATTAAGATCTCCATGGAAGCCATCAAAATAAATGGTGATGTCAACTACAAAATGAAAATTGAATGAATTCAAAAACATAGTTGCATAAAGCAAATACTTTCAAGTGTCATTTGACACTAAAAGTTTGGAAAGAAGAGGGTCTTGACTTTCACTTCCAAGCACAAAAAATATTTTGTGCAATTAGGTTTGCTCCACAAGCACTTTTTATAGTACTGTACAAATGTACCTGACCATGATACATGTTTTAAGTGTTTATCCATTCATGAATAACAGTGTCCTAGAAGTTATCATAAAGAGTACCTATTTCAGCCTAGCTGACTTTCCACTGTTAATAACTTAAACTGTGGGTACACTACAGACAAGGATCATTATACAAGAAAATTCATTGTCAACCTACTGTTTAATAGATCCCCATCCTCCAGGGGGCGTGTGTCAGGTATACCATGACATATCACTTCATTTACAGACCTATTCCAAGAAGTGTTCTCTAATCAATTAAAAACTAGTGATTTGAACTTAAATTAAGCAAAATGGCATTAAATAATTATACTATTTGTGTCAATGCCACATGACTTGCATGGCATTACGAGCAAAAGAACAAACATGTAAACTAAAAGCCTTTTTTATAATTAATTTAATCTTTGAATCAACCTGGTAAAACAAACAACAAAGATAGGGTACTGGCAAGTTTCTAAATTTCTAGCCATTGGTGTGTTGTGAGATATTATTGCAAAAAAGTAGACAAAACCAACTTACGTGCAACAGGACTTTGGAAATCCATGATAATTAAGAGGAGAAGGATAACAATTCCTCTTAAGACAGGCCTAAAGGAAGGGGAGAGTACTTCAAGAAGTTGCAATCATTAAGTTCAATCCAGCAGAAATCTGTGAGAAACACTAAATTAAATAAAAATAATTTCTAACCCTAACCCAATGCATATGGTTTGTTTTAAAAGACCTTATGATCAAGACAAACTGTACATTTTTTTATATTTTATACCTCATGTACTATTCTGTCCAATTCATCAGTAGTGATACCAACTTTAATATGCCTTGCTGCAGTATCCAACACTTCCCTTGCCAACTACAGAAGTAAAATACAATATATTCATTTGTAGAATATCATGACATATGCATATAACAACTGTCAAACAACTAATTCCTTGTTTTTCTTGCTACCATCTTCCCACTAACGGCATAGATCCATTATCTACACACACACACAACCCAAAATTCCTCCATTTGCTTTCACAAAGGGCTAATGCTCAAAAAGTCAGCTTTGAAACTCCTTACAGTGGCCAACTCAGTTGATAAATTAAACTAAAATTACTTTAATTTATCCCCAAGTTTACTACAGAGTGATTACACAATTCATGTAGTTTTATTTCTTAATTTCTCTTTGCCAAGTATCTACATATCAAATGGTAAAACATGAACAAACAACCCTCCCGAAAGCACAATAAAAATTACCATACTACAAAAACTAGACCAATTCTTAAAGAATAAATGTTACCCTGCATGCCACTTGCATTTTCTTAATTTCCTCCTCATTTAGAACTCTAATCTGCATGCTTTGCTTGGATTTGATCTCTGACAGAGGAACACCTAAAGGCAACATGAAGGACATGTATAGCTTGTCACGAATCTTTGCCACATTGGTTCATTAGAAAAGCTTCTGTATGATGTCACTTTAGGGGCAACCAAACAACAAGTGTTTGCATGAATCATCAATCTCTTGTTTATATTGTTATTTAACTCTTCAAACTGAACCCAACAGAGTTTAAATGTGAAAGTATTTGATTAATTCAAACTGGCTGTCATAATTACAGGATTATTATTTGGCAGAGACGTTTCTGATTTCCCACTGTACAAACTTCTCTCCGGGGAATTACAGCTGTGAGCAGTGAGCCAAATTAATACTTTTGTTCCCCTCATTCAAAATCATATCAAATTTAGATCCAATGACTGCATCTTATTTAGCAGAAGTTCAGTATTTTAACTCTTTGATGCAAAATCAATTTGATTACACACCATTCTCTGCATAGTCAGGTTTCTGGATGTGATCTGGAACCTCTCTCCTCGGAGACTGAAAATAAATTTTAATTCATAATATAAATAGTACAAATTTAACATATGAACAGCGTTTGATATTATTAATTGATCACCTTTTTCCTTGTATTTGTACAGTACTGTAAGTTATAAGAACAGACTGCTTTAAAATGAGGCAAAAACAAGAGTGGAAGAAGTAGTGTTTTCTGTGATCCACTACTGAGCACTAAGACACAACTAAAGGCAAAATGAAATATACTTCAGCTGGAACAGATTATAAAAACAAGTTACTCAAAGACTCGCCAAGAGGTACTCTAATGTTCAAACATTTGCTTTTTTTTCTTTTTTTCTCTTGGGGGGGGGGGGAAGGCAATAAACAGCTCCACCAAAACTATTTCTTGGATGCATTCACTTGCTTCCTCCAAAAGAAAAAAATTGTAAATTACTTAAGAAAACTGTGTCTTGCTAATAAAGCAAAACAAGTAATTTGTCTGTTATATCAGCCCTTGTAAACAAAATGACCAATCAGACAGTCTTTGTACTATTTCCTTCTTTACATAATTAAAAAAATCTAGTTAGTTTCAGTGAGACTAAATTCATTTACGATACCATACCTGAGGCCAGGGCTTCAATTTTCCTGTGAATCTATAACCAGGCCATGGATTATAGGTCACTGATGTATTGTTGTCATCTATCAAACAATTTATAGAACAATCAGGTACTAAATAAAAGTAAAGTAAAAGGTGATGGGCAGACTTGCTGACAAAAAATGTAAACAGGTGAAATATCATTCAAATATCAAACCCCAAAGAGCAGTGGAAGATTTGTTACAAGCTGCTGACTTTACATTTCCAACACGGTTTATATCATAAAAATATAATAGTGAAAAAAAAGATAATAATAACTGGAGATAACTGAACAAGGTAACCACTTCAAATATTAATGTTGTCAGTGTGGACCTTGTTTGAATGTTACTTGTATATGAATTGATCTTAACAACCCCTACTTTGTTAAAGTACAGCCTCAAATATAATGTACTACACCTGTCCTGTTCTTTCAGCTTCATAATGTACTACACCTGTCCTGTACCTTCAGCTTCTTATATAATGTACTACATCTGTCCTGTACCTTCAGCTTGATAAATTTTTTTAATGTGCTACACCTGTCCTGTACCTTCAGCTTTAGCTGTCTTGTGCACTTTCTTATGTTCACTCCAGCTCTGCTTGAAACAATCCTACAAAATGAAGTTTAACATTCAAGCAAATACAACAGTCACAGATAATATACAAGCTCACTGTTAGGTACATGTACACGCTTGTTATAGGAGTGTTGAAAGATGCAGCAGATCATCTGACAAAATGTAACAACCACAGGCTAATTGAAATAAAGTACTTGGACAATGCTTTTCTCCAGCTTAATAGCCTATAAAATGAGTGGTTTTGAGTGTGCAGCCTAGCAGGGTTACCAGTGGTATGTGAGGTATTGCAACTTTTATTTGCCAGATGCCATCTTGTTTTATCAGGGTTAGATTCGTACTCAACAGGGCTTGACACTAACTTTTCAACTTACTAGCCAAGTGGCTAGTGACATCTTATTTTTTTAGATATTATGATGATTTCAGTCCGTTAACTGGCCAAACTGGCTAGTGGAAATTGAAAACCAGTAGCCAAAACTGAATTTCTACTAGTCTGTGGCTAGTGGGCTACCGTTAGAGTCAAGCCTTGCTCAACCCTAACGAATATCACTTTTTTCAGAAAATACCTCCTTCAATATTTAATTCAGTGACCAGAGAAACCAATAAAACGAGACAATGCTGATCATTTTAAATCTAAATCAGCCCGTTCTTTGTTAAGGAGACGAGTACTATAACTCGGTACAAATTAGAGTAAGCCTACCCCTTGAAATACAAGTACCCAAAATAATGAATCTGGTCGCATATATTCTATGAATCAGGAAAACTTTCTCTAGAATGAATCCAAGTATTACAAAGAGTAGATCAACGATACATAACCACTGTGTAGCGATAGTAAAAATTTTGCAAAAACAGATTTTTAAGTTAAATTCAGAACATGTCAGTGTGGAAAGTTACTTGTCTATAATTTGGACATAAAGTTTTATCATAAGCCTTTGTAATGACAGAAGAACTGAAACAAGACTTTTGGTGTAGTAGTAGAGGTTGACTGACGCCGTCCAACATCTCAGTATAGACCAAAAGTTAGTCTCAATGCACTCACAATGCATATATGGGTACAAATCGGCATAAATCGTGTACGCGTTTCATGAGCTTTCATCATTGATAGAGAACGTGGTTGCGACAGACTCAACTACAATGAATGCCCCTTAGCTTCACCTGAGCGCAGAAGAAGCTGCCTTGAATTCCAAGCTTAATACATGTAGGGCATTGTAATTTAGCTGGTTGTTGACAGTTAGGACTTTCGCAAGTCCGAGTCACTACAGCCGCCATTAGGAACAAACTGAGCTAGTTTCCAGGGTCATTACAACAAAAACAGCGAGGGAGAACTGGGTCCACTTGGCAAGTACCCACCTATATATTGAGCATTTGAGAGCATTTTTTGTCTTGTCCGTAAAGAAGCACCAAGTTTCCAAGTTTAAATTATTGATACAAAGTAAATTTATCGTTTTCCTCAGCTTTGCACTTAAATGATAAATTCTGCACAAATCAAAAGAAAACATAGGGAGGCCTCTCTGATTAGAGAAAATTTTTGGTTTGATCACTTTTCTATCAAGGCAACAGGGCCCTAATGAAGACTAAAGACACCACAGCAACAAGGAAAAGATTTCTGATGTTTTATTTCATTCTAAGTTTATATCTTTTTTTGTGGCTATAGTTCTATCCATACCAAGATCTAGATCTTATTAGATATCCTGCCATGGCATGACTCCTTGCATGCAGCCTTTGCAAGGCAACTATCTGTTGTATGAATAACTGGAGCAGTAAAAACAGTTAAATTATTTCCTAAAATATTACTTAAATACAACCGATTTTTATCTCTGCAGTGGCCAATGAGTGAATTTGTGATAAGAGCCACATTCTACTGAGTAGTAATTATCAAATACACCTAACTAAGATAACTAACAAAATAACTTCTGTAACTATATTTGTCATGTCATAAAAACCCACTTTTCATTTCCCACAACAGTTTAAGCAATGTTCAAAAAGATAAACCCAACAAAGTTTCTTCCCAAAGACTCCCATGACTATCTCTATCTAATCTAGCTTTTGACTTTTTCTTAACTTAACAGTCATTTGAAATTAGCTCTGTAGCAGATCAAAGCCCAGCAGAGTCTCAGATATGGAGTCACACAAGGAAAGCAATTGAAAAGGTGACTGCTGGGCAATGCTGGTGGCATGTGGGATGGAATCTGTTATGTAAAACTTGGTAAAGGGCACTTCACAGTCTGTGAACAGCTTCCATGAATCTTTAGGAAACACAGCATGTGTCACATAGGCACTGATCTTCACTGCTCCAGCTGACAGCAGAGCCTGGTGAAACAAAAGGTTTGTAAGTGTGTGGGTTATGATTGGCTATAAGCTAAGCTGACATCATAATGATTGTATTCCCATCCTTATTAGAATTAGTAGAGTGTACCAGTAAAATGAGATTGTAAGTGAGGAAGAAGCTTTGTCAAGTGAAGACATCAATAAGCACCAGTTAGAGACAAGAAATGTGTTAAGATAAAAGAAAAGTTTCATAAAGGTTGCATGGGGCTTCTTTTGGGTTTTTATTGTTTTATTTATCTATATGTAAAAATCTAACTTGGCAAGGTACCATATCCACAGTCTCACTTTAGCACACTCCACTAAAGTCTAACTTGGCAAGGTACCATATCCACAGTCTTACTTTAGCACACTCCACTAAAGTCTAACTTGGCAAGGCCACATATCCAGTCTTTAGCACACTCCACTAAAGTCTAACTTGGCAAGGTACCATATCCACAGTCTTACTTTAGCACACTCCACTAAAGTCCCTCCTGTCATCACAAGGTCATCAACAATGATCACATGATGTCCAGCTGGGTCACCTGGAAAACCAGATCAACAACTACTTACTAATTAAAAGTAAACTTAAAGGTTCATAGGTCAAGTGAGTCAACAATAACTAACTATGCAGGGATATTATTCAAATCAGTTCAACTCCCTGACCTGTTTACTTGAAATTAAATTGTTTATAAGAATTTCATCATTCAAGGAGCCACAAAATAAAATCACAATGTTATCAAAGCTACCATCTTTGACTTTCACAATTCTCCGGTCCTTGTCACGGATTTTTGTGCAGGTGATAGTTGGAAAGGATTTAAACATGGTATGAAACCTCTTGAATGCACCGTCATCAGGAAAAGCAATGCTGATGGCATTGTCTTTACTCAGCATCATTATCTCTCGTAGAAGCAAAGGAATTGCTGACTCCAATCTGCATAAATTAAGATCAAGAACATCTGAAATTACATCATAGCATTAATCAGCCACATATTTAAAATATGATCCTCTAATAACATGGGAGATTCCTCAGAGTGTTACCTGGGAATAACATTGTCGGTGAAATAGAATCTTTCCTGCAGGGCATGAATATCAAATACCATTATCTGAGATGGTCCTCGGGCAGTCAATGGAATAGTGGACAACAAAATGGCCAGAGTCTATAGGAGAGAAACAAGTGCACCTGTTGAGATCATTAGATTTCTAGAGTACATCTAGTCCAGTAATACACAACAGAGCACATGTGGGTGATCCTTTTTAATGAAACGAACTGTATGACAGTCGTTTATATGAATTTAATTTACAAATCAAATTGTGATAATAATTATTCTTTTGGTATTTTTGTTGATAAGACACACGTACTGTTTATACACCAAAGACTACTAAGCTAAAAGTAAATCCCTAATCCTGGTAATACCTTTGCAGTGGCAACTTGACCTTCTGTTTCCTCTCTTTCCATTGTTGCAGTTGGAAAGTATGGTACAATAGCAGTAAATGATCGAGCCAACAGCCTGCAAGAATGTAAACAGATAATCAAAAAAAGGGATAAATTAGTGTTCATCTATCCTTCATTGATCCTTTTTTCTCCCAAGAGTAATGCATGAAGCTTTGAGATATCCCTTACTTTTCTTATATAATTTATTATAATGATTATGGAGTTTTTAAATCCCTAACATCATTTTACACATACTCAGAGCTGTTTCCTGCACATTTTCTTTCTTACTAAAAGGGGATTTGTTTCATGATTTTGAGCTTCTATAACATCATCCAGTATTCTGGATTCTGCTAACAACTCAATTGATTTAAAACTCAAAGAAGCTTTTTAAACCTGAACTTAACAAACAATTACAGCATTACAACACTTTTCTAGCATTCTAGTTTACACCTCTATGTTTTGGTGCCACATTGTAATTAGTACCTGCTTTTGTATAACATCATATTGTAAATAATTTATTCATCTACTTGTATACTAGATAATTGTTCACACTCAGTTACTCATTGACAGAAGATGGCATGTGCATGCCGAAACATGTCTTTCAAAAAAGTTGTGTCTCTTACAATATCTATCATTAATTCTTAGGACCTTAACATTAAAAAAAAAAAAATTATGATTCAGAGATGAAGCTGTAAGGAGACATCAGATCTTAACTCTAACAGCTGTGGTCTCTTTGAAAGGTATAAGATTGACCAACATTTTACAGTTTTTCTTTTCACAGGAGTATTTAACATTTTCCATTCTTCCTTGATATAGCATGCAGACTGGTAATAAAAAAAAGATAATTAGTAGACCCCTTGCACCATAAAAATTTTGCTTAAATAATAACCTGGGGTTGAAGTAACTAGTGGTATTTATATTCACTTGATGTATCTCGCGTGTTACGAAAACTAAGACCCTTGAAAACCAAGACCTAAGACCTAAGACCCGTCTTAGTTTTCGAGATTATGAAAACTAAGACCCCCTAAAATTGAATTCATCAAAATATAAAGTCAAATATTTGTAACCAAAACAGGTCTAATCTGTCAAATTATCTCCTGTTTGATCCTTTCCACCGAGTTTTTGGTCAAATTTAGTGGTAAATTTAGGGGGTCTTAGTTTTCATAATCTTGAAAACAAAGACCCCTCTTAGTTTTCATAATTACAAAAACTAAGACCCCACCAAACCAGTCTGTAAAATGTCTACAAAGTCGAATTACGACCGTTCAAAGACTATAATCCATAAAACAATCAAAAACTACAATTGTATGCGTGCTAGACGATCTGCTTCTTCTAAAAATTTGCAGACATATTTTCAGTATTCTGGCTTTATAAAGATGATGAAAGCCATACAATACCTATGTATAATTGTACGCTGAAAATATGCCTTACCCCAATTGATCTTTAATTTTGTTGTACGTTCATAAACCGCCTCCCGGTTAGCTAAATTGGTTAGAGCGCCGGATTGTGTTGTGCAGGGGGCCGAGGGTTCGAGCCCCGGCTGGACCGATACTCGTGGTCTTAAAATAACTGAGGAGAATTTGCTACCTTTCTATAATCAAAAAATGGATAGATATTCTAGTCTTCACAAATAAGGATGAATAAACCATAGGCCCCGTCTCCTGCAGGGTTAGGGGTAGGAGACATTAATTTCCCACACATGAGGTTACTGTGTAGTGGATGTCCTCTCCTGGGGTGGGATGGGNATAAATAACAGAAAGCTGCTCAAACACCACTTCTGGTGAGTGGAAACTTGCCAGAAATATTACTGCAATGAAGATAAATAACAGAAAGCTGCTCAAACACCACTTCTGGTGAGTGGAAACTTGCCAGAAATATTACTGCAATGAAGATAAATAACAGAAAGCTGCTCAAACACCACTACTGGTGAGTGGAAACTTGCCAGAAATATCACTGCAATGAAGATAAATAACAGAAAGCTGCTCAAACACCACTTCTGGTGAGTGGAAACTTGCCAGAAATATTACTGCAATGAAGATAAATAACAGAAAGCTGCTCAAACACCACTTCTGGTGAGTGGAAACTTGCCAGAAATATGACTGCAATGAAGATAAATAACAGAAAGCTGCTCAAACACCACTACTGGTGAGTGGAAACTTGCCAGAAATATCACTGCAATGAAGATATAGTGTGTGTGAAAAATTGAAATATTGTGTATATTTTTTTAAGTAAACAAAACAAAGTGAAACAGTGGTCATGGTCTGATTCAAATGACCGAAGGGCAAGAAAACAACAAACAAACAAAAGGAAAAATAGACAAAGGTAGAATACAAATGAAAGTAATATAGCAAGAGACTTTCTAAGTTTATTCTCTTCTGCTGACAACATGCACATACCATCTCTTCCTGCACAATCTTGTTTAGCATTTTCAATGAATAAGTTTGGCCATCCATCTGGAAACTGTTCCCAAGACACAGATCTCAGCTCCACACTTTGTTGATAGTATAAAAGTTCCTTCTAGATAACATAAATAATGGTTTTCATACGAATTAACCACTGTAAATATCTGCTACCATAGTTTGATCACAAATTCACAATGAAATCTCGGTTACTTTTCAAGATTAGATTAATAATAGAAAACGTCTCACTTGCTTCGTGCTTGATGACTGATCCAGTGCACGGCTGCATCGCTCACAGATACTTTTTGCCAAATGACTCATAGATTTATGATAAAACAATACCGCTGGAGGACGTGGTACATGACTTGTTCTCTGATGTGTATTGGCCATAGGATCCGCCATGTTTGTTTTGATTTAAAATGAGCGAACACTCGGTCTAGTGCAGTTTACACAAAGGAGTTTTCGTAAAGCAATGGTCAGCGGAACTCTTCGTAATCAACATAACTGAGATGAGGCCGTAAAACTAACATTTGACTTTGCAACGGATTGCTATTTATGCGAAGTGTGTGTTTTTGTCAATCGTAGTCTATTATCGTATGAAAATATTTTACAGATGTCTGTCAGAGCTGTAGACTTTTCTTCTAGTGCTTATGCTAAAACTAAGAGCTTCAAGGCAAAAGAAAATGTTGCAACGGCCTCTAGAATTAAAAGAACACCTGAACACTCGCCGTCCAGTGTGAAAAGCTCTTGGACGCCATCGAAACAAGACTTGAACGAAAAGGTTTGTAGTAAGAGAGCCTTCGTATTCCTTTGCTATTGATTGTTTTTTAAGTAAGTGTGAAGATGTAGAAGATATGGACAAGTTTTGTTCCATTTTCCCAGTTGTTCGATGAAAGGAAAGAGCTTGTCAGTAACTGGGTAAGTGTTTATTTACTTTTAAATAGCATTTAATGAACGGACAATGTAAAAAGTAACACAATAGAGTTTCTGTTTATGAAAACCAGAACAACACGCGATTCGAAATTAATAACTTGGCTACTGATTTCTTGAAAAAAACTCAACTGTTGCTAAAAACAGCTGTCTTCATATGATTGATGACTGTGAATATATAAATATCATAATTTGAACTGCAGATTAATAAATAAAGATGAGTCGGGGATCATTGCACTTGTGAACACTACTTAAGACCTGAAAAAAGTTAAGGCCGGAATTTTTTTCAAACTTTATTTTAGTTGCTATTCAGGAGGTGTTCATAATTGCAGATTGGTCACTCTTGTCCTCATTCATAATTGAATAAAGGCTGATAGTTTCGAAAGAAACTGTTTGGAGCTGCGTCGGTGGGAGTAACGAAATAATTTGGATATATCAACAAAGTTGAAGTGGTAAATTGGCCACCTTAATGATTACAAAAGCTGACATTTCGAGTGTTAGCCCTTTGGTGGAGCGAAGGGCTAACGCTCGACGAAGGCCTAATACTCGAAACGTCAGCTTTTGTAATCATTACGGTGGCCAATTTACCACTTCAACTTTGTTGATATATCCAAACTAATTCATAATTGATTGTTTAGTAAAAAGTGTGTTCTTACTGGGTACAGCTGTATTCTTAAATAGCCTCCAAAATAAGAGCCACTCAGATGAAAGTCACCAATGCCTCAGGCTTGGTTGTTACTTTGATGGTTGCTTGACTGTATTATTTCTCCAGAAGCTTCTGCAGCTGGAATTTTCTCCAGCTACTTATTTCTGAAGGGCTGGCTACCTTAATTAGAAAAGAGAGTGAAATAAAGTATACCTTTCTTTATCTGAACTTTGGTTTATCCCTTGCCACTGTTTCTTTCTTTTTCTTAAATTTAATGGCCAGC